ATACATACACACACACAAAAGTTATAATTGATTTCCTTTCAGATATTAAAAACAAAGAAAAAATAACTTGACTGTCATTGCATCCTGTGATTCTGAGCTAATTTTTGTTTTTACTCAGACTTAATGTTAGAGATGTTGAATCAACGCCTGTGAAATGTTTTAGCAAAAGTAACATAATTAAATAATAAATCAGGCCCTTAATTTCATCTAAGTCTTACAACTGAAAGGCTGTGTGTTTTTAGAAAGCAGCTTATTAGTTTTAAAAAGTACCAGACTACTAATCTACTGGAAACATAATGCATCTGTCTTTGCAAGGTATGTTGCCAAGAAAGGAAATAAAACACTGGGACTTTCAAACCAAGGAATTTTCACAAATCAGTAACGTGACCTTCAATGTTCATCTCTGGAGACATTCTTATGTGTATAAAAAGTTAATATACACTGAAAAAAACCTACACACCTTTCTATTATGACCTCAGGTTTTAGTAACAGCATCAACCCAAGGAAGAAAGACTTAATATGCTGGATCTTAAAAGCTCAGGGTAAAAACGCTCCAGTCCATCTACATTAAATAATGACCAGACGTTTCCTGTTGACCTCCAGAGCTGGGCAGACAGCCACAAATACCAGGTCCAGGCCTATGGAGACACGTATGGATGAGATAATTGCTAAAATGAACAGGTTTACAGCCTTGCTCCTGGTTGGGGAGTGTAACATTTCTACAGAAAAACAACACACCCAAATGATCAGAAACCCATCAAAAACTGGGCGTTGGGACCGTCTGACCAACGGGTTTGTAAACGCTGGATATTATTAAAGTGTGAAGTACGACGCACACATGAATGGAGCGTAAAAATGATGCAAACTTACGTCTGCAGCCTTGTTGAGTATTTCAGCAGCTTCATCGTACTCTGGCTTCATTTTTTTGCAGTGGCCACACCCTGGAGAAAACAAAACAAACACAAAAACAAATTACAGCCGGACACATGACGTCTGGTAGAGACTGGTTTTAAGGATGGTACATTCAGCCGAGGTGGGCGACTGTGGCTCAGAGGTGGGACAGTCATCTTACCACCAGAAAGTCACAAGTTTGATTCCCAACCAAGCTCGCATGTTGCTGTGTCCTTGAGCAAGACATTTAATCCCTAACGGCTCCCGGGGCTCTTAAAGGGGACACGTCATGTTTTTAMAAACTTCCTTTTCACACATGAATCATTCAGTTGTGGTTTTATAAAGTGGAACTGAATTCCTCATTATTGTAGCTCAGAACCCTGGATTTACAAAATCTATGACCCTGTCAAAAATTAATGTTACAATATTAGAAAAAGAACACATTGTGAATCATGTAATTGAAACAAATTATAAATATCAAGTAACAT